CCTCCTGAAAACAGTGTTCCAGGTACGTCAACTGTTTGTTCATGGTCACGAGGTCCTTGGCAATTCGATTACTGTCATCACCTATTGGGCCATTTCCTGTGCTGTATGCAGGTCATGATGCGTTTGTTCAGCCCTCGCAAGACCACATTACTGTTTGTTATACGGGACAAAACAAAGGTAATGATTTACTGTCATACTGTTAAATGAACTGAGCATGTCTTGCCTACTGTTGTAATTTATTTATGCTGATTCTGGTACTTTGCGGCTTTACGTGCAGACTCCACTTGAATATCTTGAACCTATTCTTAGAGAGGATGTTCAGAAGGTATTTGTCTTTGTAGTAGCCATTTATATTTGTTGGTTCTTGACTATCAGTCACTCCATTCTTTGGTGCTCACAAGTTTTCTAACTTGTGCAGATATGGGATTCAGTTCCTAAACCCCAGGCTCACCAAGATACTCCACTGAGTGAATTTTTTAATGTAAAATTTCTGTTACATTCACTTCATATCTTTCTGATCTGTTATATCGGGTGCACTCTAGATGGTCTGTTTTTCTTTGTTACAAGTACTAGATACCCTTGACATTTTAACTAATAAGTAGAGTTCTCCATTACAACATATTATTTTTATGTCTAAACTCCATCAAAATGTTCTACGCCATGAATTTTCCAGATACGGTGTTTCCTAACTATATAAGCTGTTATGTTTTATCTGGGGGCTAAGGTTTACCTCTAGAATTCTCCCATTTATAATAAGTCTTAATTTGTTTGTCATTGGTTTTAAGGTTGAGGTGACTGCTCTATCCAGCTTTGAAGAGAAGGAGCAACAGTTTAAGGAGCAGGTAATGCAAATCTAACAATTTGCACAGCTTTAAAGTCAACTTTTGTTTCTGCAGTAAGCCTTATGGCCACTATTATGTTCTTATCTAATTGTTTGGGCTTCAAATCTGTAATATTATTCTCTAGGACACAAAATCTGTAATATCAGTAAGCCTTAAGGAGCAGGTAATGCAAATCTAACAATTTGCACAGCTTAAAAGTCAACTTTTGTTTCTGCAGTAAGCCTTATGGTCACTATTATGTTCTTATCCAATTGATTGGGCTTCAAATCCGTAATATTATTCTCTAGGACACAAATTTATCAGATTTTTTTTCTTTTTTGCTGTGCTGGACATGATTGTGTTGATCTTGCTTTAGGTATCATCACAAATTTATCACTTATGGTCTATGTATTTCATCTTTTGAAGGTTGCTCAACTGAGGGAGCGCTTTTTTCATTCCATTTCTCCTGGAGGGCTAGCTGGTGATAGAAGGGGCGTTGTCCCTGCCTCGGCATTTGCTTTTAGTGCACTTCAGATTTGGAAAATTATAAAGGAGAATAAGGATCTCGATCTCCCTGCTCATAAGGTTCGTCAACTTTGGTCCATAGACAAAATAAATTGTAGTTCCCTACCTGAACGTGTGTTTTTGTCTGTCAGGTGATGGTTGCAACCGTTCGATGTGAAGAGATTGCCAATGAAAAGCTTTGTTGCTTGAAGTCTGATGAGGTACTTCGTTCTTAATCCAAGGGGTCTCATCCTTCTTTTTTTGGCTGGATTATTCAAGAACTGTGAAATATTAGTACAAGACCTGAGTGTTGTTAAATTTGCCCTAAAAAAGGGATGGCTAGAACTGGAGGAAGCTGTTGAAGCTGGTCCTGTATCAGGATTCGGGAAGAATGTCAGCTCTATCCTAGAAAGATACCTTTCAGAGTAAGTCGTGGTAACTTTTGTGAGCTCTCATGCAACTACTTTTTTTATGTTTCTTCTGAATTACTGTTTTCTCTCAATATTCTAAACCTTTTTCTTGACAGGTATGACATGGAGGCAACCTATTTCGAGGAAGGAGTGAGAAATGCAAAACGAGAACAGCTGGAGACAAAGGCATTGGATGTAAGCTCTTACTGTCTTCGAATCGTCAGCCACTCTTTCTGGATTATGGAATTTGTTCTCTGTATAAATTTATTGCTGACAGTTCCCAGTGAAATTATGCTCTTGAGAGTTTGCCACTTCCCGTTGCTGAGCATCTTGTATATCATGCAGTTGGTTCACCCTGTTTATGTTACTTTATTGGGACATCTACGTTCTAAAGCACTTGAGGACTTCAAGAGTAGGCTAGAGCAATCACTGAGCCGAGGCGAAGGATTTGCTGCTTCTGTTTGTGCTTGTACCGAATATTCCCTTGCTGAGTTTGATAAAGGATCCAAAGGTATAACAATTTATGCTTTATTTTAAGTCGTATCTAGAGTACGAGTTATGCTGGCTATTATGCTGTCTTATTTTGTGGCAATTGGTACTTGCCGAGACACTTTTTCCTGGGGGATCAATGCTATCTTACAGATATAGGTGTTCCTTTATGGATTAATCAAGTCAAGCCACAGGTTAATTTAGGCCAACCCCAAATGTTGGCTTAGTGGGAATGGGGGATGAAAACCATCAAACACTTAGTCCAACCTGAAAAAGAAAATAGCACAAGCTCAACTGTCGTGTGGACATGATGAAATGTTACAGCTTTTTGTGTCACCTGATCTGTATTTTTGTATGACCCATTTAAACTCTTTGTTAGCACCCTCTCATATTGTCCTTATGACTGAGGTTATGCCAGTTATAAATATGCTTCTTCCAATTGGATGTTTTAAGTAGTTGCGGGACAACCAAAAAGGTGTATGCATTGTGGTAGCTGTTAAGAGTTCAGAAGAAGTGGGGGTAAATTATTGAATATTAATCAATATCTAAGCCAGTTTCTTGTGAAAGAATGAGAATGGAAATTGTGATGGTTTATTAGTCAATCTCTGAGGACTCATCGCTTCAATGCGCTTTGTCGAAGCAAGATTACTGTGTATTACTGCATTGGAAAAGTTTGGGTGGACGACTGGTACACCTTATTCATATTCCTTGCAGTTGGACCCTTAGTGCAGAACTGCTTGGAAGCATGTACGATACTCATTAACTTGACTAACTCTGGCAGTTCTGATATTTCAGATGCATCTATAAAACAAGCCGATTGGGATGCTTCAAAAGTTCGGGAAAAGCTTCACCGTGATATTGAGACACATGCTTCATCTGTATGCAGTGCCAAGCTGTCTGAGATGACAGCAAAATATGAGGTAATTTGTTTACCGTTATGAGTTCACTTGATGTTAGGACTTGCTAGCAGCATATCATCTATCATCTCGTCCGAGGTCTTTCTGTGAACTTAGTGACTCTGCATTCTGGTCGTATATAACTGAATCTGGATACACTGTTGTATGCAGAATAAACTCACCGAAGCATTGAGTCATCCTGTAGAATCTCTCTTTGAGTCTGGTGAAAAGGACACATGGGCTTCAATCAGAAAGCTTTTAAAACGTGAAACAGATGCTGCTGTAGCTAAGTATTCCACTGCAATTGTTGGTTTTGAATTGGATGAAGCTACAGTTGATGCACAGCTGCAGCACTTAAGGGACTTTGCAAGAAATGTAGTGGAGAAGAAAGCAAGAGAAGATGCGGGGAAGGTTTTGATACGTATGAAGGATAGGTAAAAACTAATATGCTAAATTATGTTTTGGTGTATCCTCTGATGTAGTTATTATATGGTTGACTAATTCCTGGGATGTGTTTCAGATTTTCCACAGTTTTCAACCATGATAATGATTCAATGCCGAGGGTTTGGACTGGAAAAGAGGACATCCGAGCCATTACGAAGGACGCACGATCTGCGGTAATGTTCAATGAACTTTCAATAAGTGACTTCGTGCTTGAACATACTAGGTTTGTATCTCAAACGGCTTTATGTGGTGCAGTCCTTGAAACTTCTCTCAGTCATGGCTGCAGTACGCTTGGATGAGAAACCAGATAAGATTGAGGATGTACTCGTCTCCTCCCTCATGGATGGAACTATTACTACTCAATCTTCTCAAAACAGAGGTGTTGGAGCTACTACTGACCCTCTTGCCTCGAGTTCCTGGGAAGAGGTATTAGCAATTATTTGATGTTTTGGCATCTCTTCTTACTATTAACATAGCTTCTGCAGATGATTTCATATACCTCACTTCTGCGCCAGCAATTTACTGCAAGTATCAAATGTGTGGCAGGTTCCTCCAAAGTGTACATTAATTACACCAGTTCAGTGCAAGTCCATGTGGAGGCAGTTTAAATCAGAGACCGAGTATACTGTTACACAAGCACTTTCAGCTCAGGTACAAATACTCCTTGAAATTGTTTACCTGTTTCTGGTCCATCCTACGCTTATATTCACCCATTGGTTATCATTTTGATCTCTTGAACTTTTCATCTGATGTTTCTACTCCCATAACCTAAACAACTAGCTGGTACTGAGACATCCGTTATCTGCTTCATTATGTCTTACCGCACAATTAACTTCATCTACTGCACAATCTACCATGCATTTTTATCGAACGTGCCCCTCTACTATTTTTTATATAGAGAATACCCATATATTTTAGAAACATTATCAAACATGGCAAACTATTAACCACGGTCGAATCGTGGTTTGGGCAAAAAAAATGTCTTAATATACCCCTAATAATTTCACTTTAACATTTTTTTGGTTTCTTTTGTATATCCCAATACCCGTAATAATTTCATTGAAACAAGACCTAGAGAAATACAAGGGAGGTTAAAACTGACATTTCACCTCCCATTTTGTCGATGTCAAGTAGTCCCGACAGGGGTTCGCCTGTGGTTGACAGTTTTTGAATGCAAATTTTAATAGAAGGGCATTGTTTTACGATGTTTCTAAAGTAGAGAGGGCTATTTTTTATGCAAAAAAATAGTAGAGAGATGTTTGATAAAAGTGCACAGTAGAGAACATATTAATATTATACCTATAATCCTTCAAAATGATGTATTTCGAATCTGAACCTTTAGGTGACATTTCAATCGCCTCATTATAAGTGTGTTTCTAATCCTTTTTTCCCTTGCCGTTTGTTTTGTTTAGTGTTTTAACTTTAACTTATGAGGACGTAAATTCAAAATTCATTATCACAACTTTCAGAATTCAGTCAATATATGTAGTGATTTATATAGGCATCTTATTTGAAATCCTTGCATCATCAATATCTGGACGTTCTAATATAGTTTTGAGACTATTCTTCTGGACTTCTTGTGATCCAGACTATGATTCATTTGGACGATTTCTGCGCATGGGCTTTATGTTCTTACCTTGTTCCTGTTTCTTTAGTTTCACTCCTTCCGGTGAATCATGCCTGATTCTGGTCTGATATGTGGTGGTACGCAATGTCTTTTTCAGGAGGCTCACAAACGAAATAACAACTGGTTACCTCCTCCATGGGCAATTGCTGCAATGCTCATCCTTGGTTTCAACGAGTTCATGCTTCTGTTGAAGTAACTCCCTTGCTGATTATTTTTCATTGGTTTAAAGATATCAACCTCTATATCTTATCACTCAATGAAGGCAACTGACATTAAGACCTATTGAACAGGAACCCCCTTTACCTAATGGTTCTGTTTGTTGGATTCTTACTCTCAAAGGCCTTGTGGGTACAGCTGGATGTTGCTGGGCAGTTTCGACATGGCCCGGTAAGTCTAAAATATAAAGCTTATAAAATGCAGACAAGTAGATAGCAAAATGTAAATTAAAGCCTGTGAATTTCACATCACTCGGACATCAACTGATTAGCTTTTTTTTCTTGTTCCTTGTTATGCAGGTGGCGGGAATACTGTCTATATCGTCCAGGTTTCTTCCAACAATCATGAATCTACTTAAGCGACTCGCTGAAGAGGCTCAAGGTCAAGGCCAGCAGCAGCAGCAGCAGCAGCAGCAAACACCTACAGCTCCAAGACCATATCCAGTAGATTCACACAGTTTCAAGAATGAAAGTTCCAGTTCAAATCCAACATCCACTGTGATTCCCGACTCTTCTGTATCCTCCTCCAATGTCTCATACTCAGACAGTGGGATGGAATACTCAAGTCCAAACCAGATGCACAGGCGGAGTTCGAAGGCAGAGGCAGAGTATTCCTGATGTCCAACTCCACTTCCTACGATGTTTGCTTCATTTTTTGAGCGGGCCGACAAGTCGATCTGTGCGTCACTGGATGCATTAGGATTCCCTGGATGTTTGTAATCTTTGAACGAATAAGGTAGGAATCTTTGGTGTGTGTTTGATAGTCTGGAATCATGATCTCCGAACCTTTGTATGATAAATTGAGTATTGTTCTTTATGAGCATTCCAGAAGAAGGGAAGAAGTTACACATTGAAGTTGTGAATGTTACAGACTATGATTCTGTTTCTGCCACAAAAGAAAAAATTGTCATTACATTACTGTTTTCTCGTTGAAGCCAATCAAGCATATACAAAATTGAGTACGGCATTCAAGAGGAAAGAGTTGCGAGCCAGCAATTAAGGTGTGATTCATAGTACCCTGGCTAGGCAACCCTGCAACAAGATCCAAGTATGCTTCCGGTAGTGGATGATATTACAACCAAGTATACTGCCCCGGTTATGTACAAGGTTGCAAAACTGCGTCTATGAATTTTGAGAGCCAGACCATCGCTTCTTCAGTAATTTCGATATCGTCAAATCTGCTCCTCCAAACCCGTCCAGTATCCCATTTGCTGAAGGGAACTCAGCTCTCGATGTCGAACTGTAAGGAAAAGACAAGGCAAGTCAATAGAAAGAGGGCAACAGACAGTATAGGTTATTTGACAATTGGATAGAAAGCATGTGAAAGGCATCACAGATCTCTTTTCATCTCTTATCCCAAGTTATCATAGTGTTCCTTGGCACAAATTAGCAAAGTGATGCTCCAGTAACTTTATATAAACCTCGACAAACCCCAGCAAAAGCTAATGTTTTGCTTCTTACATCCAGTTTAAGATTTACCCAATTTTGTACAATCGTGATTGTACACGAGCATCTTCTGAGTTTACAAGTTTACCTGCAAGTTCCGGTTCTAGTTTGACTACAAAATTGATGGACCAAAAACTTGTTAAACTCAACAGTTAAGCCAATAAAGACTATACCTGCTCCGTAAAACAATACACGGCATGCCAATTCGCTTGGCTGCAACAACTCCAGATTGGCTTCCACTAACAAGAACACAATCTTGGACACGGTGACCAGCAATCTCTGCCGCTGCACGCAGTGCAACTACAACCTTTTCTATGCTGCACGATCTCGACGCATCATTTAAAGCTAGAATACCACACATGGTAAAATGAGGTATTATAACCAATGTACTTGGGGCAAGAGGTTTACTAACCTCTCAGATGAAGTCGCACCAAGCTCTACTTTTAACTTCAACAACGATGCAACTTCCTCAGCAACCCTCTGTTTCTCAGCGGAAGCTGATCAGGTGGAGCAATAACTAATTTTCAGTGGAAGAGAAATGAAGAACACATGACACAGACAAGTAAAGAATCTATGCCCGTAGGATTTACCTGCTTTCTGCACTTGCCTAGCTAGCTGCTCATCCAAACCAGAGGACACTCCTTGGCCTAGAACAAGTTGGCTGTATAAACTCCGTCCTATTTCCTCATTTCCAACAATCTTGATCTTCGACATTCTTGCCTCCCCAAGCTTTTTTATAACGGATCTAGAAATTTCAAGCACATAGAAGCAAAAGATAGAGAAAAAAAATCAGGCACTCCTAGTTACGCTCTCAAAGAACAACAGTGTGGTGGAGCAAGTGGTAAAAAAAGCAATCTGACATAGTGATGAGGCAACTTATCGACAATATATCAGCATTATGAGAGTACTGAAAAATAAATGCAGGGATTTTCTGAACCCGGCAAACAATGCAACAGACAGGCTACACGCCATTTGCACTTTAGAAACAATTTTGTGTTCTCTTTTTGGGGATCATAGCCAGTTCATTTGAGCAGGACTTTCTTGAATTCTGTTTCTTATTAAGAATTTGCAGTTTATAGCAGAGTAGAAGCAGGAGAATTGCAAGTAACTGAAAGTAATACCACCCTGTCAGTGAGCACACTCAAGAAAATACCTAAGGTGACCCTGGTGATATTACGTTGAATTCGGGCATTTGAAAACCTAAGGAAGAGAAGATAACAAATCATAGCATATTCACTGTCATCTTTTAAGTAGAGTTCTTCTCTAACTAGCCAGCCTTCTTATTCATTTAACTATCCGTTATTTGAGCTCCAGAGAATGGAACATACCTGGCTACCTTTTCATCACTTTTACCATAAGTCGTCATTACAGCTACTGGTACCCCTTCATCATATGCATCATCGATAAAACTGCACAATACAACATTTCTAAGTCTCGAATATTTAATAATAAACATCTGCCTAATGTATTCAACGTTCCTCTATGAGACGAGATGACTCACTCTTCGACTCCAGGTCGTAAAGGTGAGTCTTCAGATGCCATAAAGTCATCCAGTGCTTTTTTCTGCCAACATCCACATATACTGAAAAATTAATAAACCATACTACTCACTCTCATCCAGGAAAAGTTTGGAGAAATTTGAGTACCATTCGATGAAAATGCAACCAAGAGAAAAAGATCTCAGCTACATAGCTAGCAATAATACCTTTTCTTGTAGAACATTTTTCACGAACGTGTCTTTCTCACTTGTTGGCAAAGAAGTAGGCCAACCAATCTGCAGGAAGATGCAGAAATTCTGTACAACAGCAACCACCTAAACGGTATGTTCAAAGTCGAACAGAAGACTTGCGGTGAACTTACCCGATTAAAATACAAGAGCAGCATTCTTTCCTCATCACCGGTACTCTTCCTGGTAACAGAGAAGAAGAGCCATGGACGTAAGATAGTTCATTTACAAACTGGCAACAACGAACAGACATTCATTCTGCCAATATGAATTCATACAGATGCTTGAAGTGTCAACATTTGAGGGGAAAACTATTCTCTAAATGCGAATAGAACATAACTACATAAGTGTTTGTATTATGATGACATCAGGCATAAAACTAACCAATAAATTCGACGAGAGGATTTCAATACAAACTGCATATACAATGAAAAAGAAGGAGGCCACACCTTAAGAGGTCCATGTAGATAGGCTCAGTCCAATTGGCACAGTCAAGTCCAAGCTTCCGAAATGCTGATAAGAAAAGAAGGGATGGAAATTGGCAACTGAGTGAACAATTTACGCCTTCAAATTGGGTTCTCTTCAAACTCAACTGAAGGTAACAGTGAACGAAGATATCGCCTCACCAGCATTAAAAGCTTGGCGATTTCCCAAGCGATATGCGTCCATAAGGACCCTGCAAGAGACGCCAGAGATTTCAAAGGAAACGCCCCACTAGGCAAACAATTCAACACAAGGAACAGTTAAAAAAAAAAGATATAAGGGACAATGGGGGTACCCATCAACTTCAAGGAGAACAGCAAGCTCTGGACATGGGGTTTGCTCTGGAGGAGTCGAGGCCAAGGGTGAGCTGCTGAAAGCAGTGAACCGACTGGGTGGCTTTAGATACTTCACCGCCGAATTACACTTTGTCGGGGAAGTGAAGGAAAATGATGGAGCCAAATAGAAACTGATGAAGCTACGTTGTGGGAATTGGGCATATTTTCTGCTAGCCCCGGCGGCGGAGGACCTGAGGGGGACAAGAATTCGAGAAGAAGAAAAAGAAGAAGTAGCTACCGGAGCCGTTTCCATGGCAGGCATGGCTACTAACTGCGTTCCTTTTGGAGTGCGAAAGACGACCGCCGCATTTTATTGCTGGCTAGGTGTATGCGACATTTGCTTTGAAAAACGAACTTCCATTAATTAAAAAAAAAAAAAAAACTTCCAGCGGGCCTATAGTGACGCGGGCTGGAAGGCTTTCTCACGGGGCAGGATCAGGGGCTAAGATCAGGTGACTAAGGGGGTCCCCTTAGTCACATGGCTAAGTGAATCTCAACCACTCAACCTCATTAAAATCTAAGGGCTCCTATTAATCCAATTTAATGAAGGGCATTGTAGTAATTGCATGTTTAATTTTTAATTTAAAAAAAAAAGTCAGCCGTCCGCGTCGGCCCGTCCCTTGCGCCGCTTCGTCTCCGTCCAATTTCCGGGACAAGAAATTCCTGGGCTCCCATCATCCGCCATTATTCCCTGGAATTCCCCGGAGAGAGAGAGGTGCTGGGAACTCTTTTTGGGAATTCCCCACTTCAACTACGAGAGGGAGAGAGAGGGAGAGAGAGAGAGATCCTGGCCAAAAAAAATTTCTGCCCGGAAAATTTTGGCCGGAAATTTTTTTCCCGGCGACCATCATGGACGGAGAAGAATTTTCCGATGACAGTGCCAATTTTGTGATGTTTGTTGACATATTTTGTAATGTTTGTACGCTTTGTTATTTTGTAATGTTCGTAAACTTTGTCATTTTTGTCCACAATGTTCGTACTGTTTGTATGTCTAAAAAACACCCGGGTTGACTTTGGGAAGGAGCCCCTCTATATAGGGATGGAGCCTCCAAAGTCAACCCGGGTGTTTTTTTCTTTTTGTATGGTTTGTATTGTTTGTCAGTCTAGTTTGTATTGTTTGTACAGTTCATACGTTTGTAATGTTTATAAATCTGTTTGTATGTTTTGTCGCTCTAGTTTGTACTGTTCGTATGTTTGTATGGTTTGTACTGATTGTAAATCCGGTTTGTATACTTCGTAATTTTGCATAATACCCAAACTACCCCTGTCATTAATTAAATAGCCATTCCCACTTTTTAACCATTGGATTGAAGTGTCCAGATCTAAGGGCTAGGAGGGGCTTAGCCAAGTGACTAAGCACCCCCCCTTAGTCACCAGATCCGCTCTCCAGGATCAGGTGACTAAGAAGAGTTCACTTAGTCATGTGACTAAGTGTATCTTAGCCATCCAACCTCATTTAAATTTAAAGGTTCAGATTAATTTAATTTAATGAAGAACAATACATTAATTATTGATTTTATTAATTAATTAAAAAATAGCTTTTCCTCTCCAGTGCCGCTCCGCTCATATTCCCTCCCGCAGGTTTACCTTTGCTCTCGCCGTGCTAGGAATAGTCCCGCCAGCCACTTTTACTACTTTTTGCTCTCGGCGGCGCCGGTGGTGGGAATAATTCCCAAGGGTGTAGAGAGAGAGAGAGATTTTCTGACCGGAGGAAACTTTTCTGGCGACCAACAACGACGGTGAAGAATTTCCCGGCCCGGCGACAGTGCTAGATTTGTGATGTTTGTTGACGTGTTGTACGGTTAGTTTCGACCATTGATTCCGTTTTTATTGTTTATCATTCTTCTTTGTCATTTTTAGTGACGTTTTGTACTGTTAGTATGCTTTGTACTGTTTTTCGGTTTATTTTGTAATATTTGTAAGCTTTGTTATTCTGTAATATTTGTCGGTTTCTTTTGTAATCTTTGTAAACTTTGTTATTTTTGTGCACCATGTTTATTATTTTTGTCAACCATGTTAGTAATGTTTTTTATGTCTAAAAAATAACCTGGTTGACTTTTGGATAGAACTCCTCTATATAGGGATGGAGCTTCCAAAGTCAACCCGTGTGTTTTTCCAGTTTATATGGATTGTCGGTCTAGTTTGTCATTTTTGTCCACCATGTTCGTAATGTTTGTATGTCTAAAAAACAACCGGCTTGACTTTGTTACGGAGCCCTCTATGTATGGATGGAGCCTCCAAAGTCAACCCGGTTGTTTTTCTTTTTTGTAAGGTTTGTATTGTTTGTCGGTCTAGTGTGTATTTTTGTACAGTTCATACGTCTGTAATGTTTGTAAATCTGTTTGTATGTTTTGTCGTTGTAGTTTGTACTGTTCGTATTTTTGTATGATTTGTACTAATTGTAAGTCCGGTTTGTATACTTCGTAATTTTCCATAATACCCAAAATACCTCTGTCATTAATTAAATAGCTCTTCCCACTTTTTAACTGTCAGATTGTTGTGTCCAAATCTAAGGGCTTGGAGGGGTTTAGTCAAGTGACTAAACACCTCCCTTAGTCACAGGATCCGAACTCACTTTCTCTAGCTGGCCATTACTTAATTGCATCTATTGGGCTTGGTTTCATGCTTAATATTATCATTCAACATAAAATGCTTAGTTACTAAAATACGATACGAGAAAATTATGCATAAAATATGTATGTATATTTTATAATGTCTCTAATCTAAATAGTTATCAAAATATAAAATTATTTTAAAAATAGATAATATATAAGTTATCAATTTAATTCTTCAAGTACAGATATAAATGTGTTACACGAGTTTTATACGTGTTTAATACGGGAGCCATCAAAGTGAACGGAGAAAAATGAAACAGCTTGACAATAATATGAATACAGAAGTTTTAAATGAATAAAATACATATAGCTATCTATTCGAATATTAAACGGAGTGTTTACTAACTATTGACTCTCCTCCCCTAAATATATTAAAGGAGAGACTTATAATGGTTGACCGAAAATACTGCATACTATTTCTGTCGTTTAATGGTAGATCCAATCATACAACATGAATTGAGGCCAGCCCATTCAATAGATTAAGAACTAGAAGGTGAAGCAAGTGATCTAGGCATCAAAATATCCACACACAAAAAAAACAAAAAACAAAATCAATGTGTTAAATTTAGTATGAAGTATGAACAGATTGTCCAATTTTTTCTTTTCGGCATAATATAACAGCTGGGATATTTAATTCTTCCAGCACGTGAGTAGACAAAAGACTTCCTATTTCTCCTAATTGCTCTACTTTGATGATGTTCGCCATCAATTTGGCCGTCGGCTTCCTGACAAAGAGCAGTTGTCAAAGGAGGATAAAAACAGTTGACATATAATCACTCCAGTGCCTAGTGATTATGATTTAGAATGGTCAGATTGAGGGTGATTCACCTTCAAAACAAATCTTACGGTTAAATTGAGAGTGAATAAGGTCCAAAATCGTGATGTCGTGTAATTCTATAAGTTCTCACATTTAATCACAATGAATATGTTGACATTTGACAAGAGTTTCATACTTAAGTGTTGAGAAACCGGGGCAAAAACCACAAGCAAGAATCAAATGCACAAGACACACAATTTTACGTGAAAAACCCAAATCGGGAAAAACCACGGGACCTTTGTCCAAGCCACAACTCCACTAGACTTTAGTGGGATTACAAGTCCTCTCTAGACTAGCTAGGGGATTACAAACACCTCAAGAACTGCCTTCTTGGATAAAAAATCAACCAAAATAGCTCTCACCAACATGGTGGATAACTAGAACAAGAGCAAGGCAAAGAGAGGTTTAGAGATACCAAAAGACAGATTCGTACACCTTCTGTACAGCAGCTATTCCCGACGAACTAGAGCTCAGAATGACGATCCCTCCTTCCAAAATGAAGCCCAGACAATTGCGAACCCATTGTCCAAATTTTAGGACGATCCAACGGTTCAATCTTCCACAACACTCACTTGAACAGGCTGCCCTGCTGCAGAAACGAAAAACTGCAGCTCTTTCTTTCTCTCTTCTCTTTTCTGATTCTCTCTCTGGAAAATGAAAGGCTTACTTCTCTTTTCACTTTTGACCAGACAATAAATCTCTATTTTGAAAATAGAGGATCTTCTAGAAACCAACCAAAACCACCATATGAGTTGGACCAACCCAACAAATCTCCCCCTCCAGCTCATATGAGGGGTAGCACCAAACCTGCTTCATCTCGACGGAAGATATGTTTCCCACTTGGTAGAGACTTAGTCATCACGTCCGAACCATTGTCATCCGTATGCAACTTGTTGAGCTCCAATAACTTTTCTTCCAAAACATCACGAATCCAATGATATCGAACATCTATTTGTTTCAACCTTGAATGGAAAGTAGGATTCTTGCAAAGATGGATTGGACTTTGACTATCACGATAGAGCATATACCTCTCTTGCTTTATGCCCAACTCTTGAAGAAACTTCTTCAACCATAGCATCTCTTTGCAAGCTTCTGTCACAGCTATGTACTCTACTGTTGTTGTTGATAATGCAACACATTTTTACAGTTGAGATTGCCATGAAACTGCAGCACCTGTAAAAGTCATCATGTATCTAGAAGTCGACTTTCTAGAGTCCACTTCAACTGCCATGTTAGCATCGGTATATCCATCAAGTATGGTCTTGCCATTACCAAAGCATAGGCACACTCTAGAAGTACCTCTCAAGTAGCGAAGAATCCACTTCACTGCTCTCCAATGTTCTTTCCCCGGATTAGAAAGAAAACGACTAACAATCCCAACTGCATGAGCAATATCCGGCCTTGTGCAAACCATGGCATACATCAAGCTTCCAACAACTGATGCATAAGGCATATTCTTCATTGCTTCTTTCTCTTCATCACTTTTAGGACAATGCTCCACACTCAACTTGAAATGTCCTCCAAGTGGAGTACTAACCGCCTTAGCCTTGCTCATGTTGAACCGCTCAAGAACTCTTTCAATATACCTTTCTTAGGACAACCAAAATTTTCCATTCCTTCGATCCCTAGAGATTCTCATCCCTAGAATTTGTTTCGCTGGTCCTAAGTCCTTCATGGCAAAGGATTTACTCAACTCCTTTTTCAATCTATCAATCTCTCCAACATTCCGACCCACGATCAACATGTCATCCACGTAAAGAAAGAGAATGATGAAATCATTTTCAGCAAAGTATTTCACAAACACACAATGATCAGAGGTAGTTCTTGCATACCCGTGATTGACCATGAATGAGTCAAATTTCTTGTACCATTGCCTTGGTGCTTGCTTCAACCCATATAAGCTC